CTCCCTGGACCCCTGTCTCCAGGCAGAGGCTACAGGTCACCTCTGCCAGGAGGGCCCAGTTGTGGCCCCAAGGTCATGACTGTCCTGCAAGGTGGGTGAGGAAGGGGAACAAACGGAGGGCAGAGGAGAAGGTCAGGGAGGAGGTGACCACACCTGCCCTGGTCAAGCTGCAGGAGCCTCCTCCCTGCCCCGCACACTCTCACCCTCTCCAGCATGTGCTCCCCAAGGCGCCCCAGGGCTTTCCCAACATGGACCCTCACCTGCCTTCTCTGCTCCCCACACTAGGCAGGGAGGGCTCACAGGACCTGCCATCACCTCCACTTTCTCCCCCAACCCCTTTCCCTGAAGCCAGGAGAGCAGACAGGGGCTGAGTGCCCATGATGTGCCAGGCCCTGAGCTCAGACTCACAGGCATCAGGTCACCATCCTCACCGTGTCCCTAACCTCACCACACGCAGGTGAGGACACTGAGGCCCTGGAGGGGAGTCCCTGTGCAGGCCCCACCCACGTGATTGGGGGAAGACAGGCTGGAGTCCCATGGGGATCCAGGGGGCTTAAGGGAAGGCCCACGCTCCTCAGCCCCCGCTGCAGTGGCTCCAGCTCCTGCCTGTGCCCAGCCCTGGACCCACCCCTCGCCCAACACCCAGGACCCTCACCTTGTCTCCTCGGAGTCACTCACCTCCCTGTCACCTCCTGCTCCCCCTGGGGCTCAGGTCACATGTCACCTCAAGGAGGAGGCCCAGAGGCTCCCAGGTCAGGGGACCCTCGCTCTGTTCTCCCCGGGCCCGTCTCCAGCTGGACTCTGAGTTACAGACACAGAGTCCTGGGACGGCTCACTCTGCACCCCAGTGCCCAGCGGAGGGCACCCCAAATATTGGTCATTTGAGTTAAGAAATTAATACAGTTACACAAAAGCCACTCAGGAGGACTCTTGTTTCTGGTAATGACTTGTTAGGACATTTCCATCAAACACAGACTGAAAACAATATCTATTGGTGGCATTTACCCTCCTTAAGAACACAAGGATTTCAGATATTTCAAGGGCGATTATGTGAAGATTTATATTTATTCTGTTTGAACACAGAGGTCAGAACCTGGTCATGTCTGCAGCAGTCTGGGGCCCAGCCTCTGTCATCACCTCCTCACTCCCCTCGTCTCCCTCCATCACAAGAGCAACATCAGGAGGAATTTTTAAATTCAACTAAATCACATATGGCTGCCTGGGCAGGAAGGGGGTGCCTATCACTAAGAGGACCCAACCCTCACTCTGGATGTTTCCAGGGGATGTGACCACACTGAGACCTCAGCCCCCTCAGCTCTGAGACCCTTCCTCACTGCAGCTGCCACAGAGGGGGGCCCTGAGGCAAAATGTTTATTTTCTTTCATTCTTGCCTTTTTGTCCTGCTTTCATTGTTTGCTGGGGTTAACATTTTCTCCTCTCACACAATTTTCTATTTCACATCATTAAAACAACAAAAAATAATAGAACTTTTACAGTAAAAAAGAAAACACCTCCAATCCTGGTGGCTAATGTGGTAACAACACTCCTTTTTATGCCTCCTCTTCCAGTGGGGACCAGGACAGTCATCCTGAGCACAGTGGTGAGGAAGGGAGGGAGGGAGGTGGGGGAACCAGCCTGGGTTTATCTGAGATCCTCTCCCCGCTGCACACGGAGGGTGACCCTGGGGAGGTGGGAGAGCCCCAGAAATGAAAAACAATCATTTCACATGTCACCCACTCTAACATTTTCCCTTCCTCCAGGAGCTGAGGTAGACCCTGCTCCATCTCTCCCTCCCTTCCCAGACTGTGGACAAAGTCTCAGCTCAGGAACTGGGGTGACCTGGGCTAATCCTGCCCCTGGGCCGGGCCAGCAGGGCACACACTCCTCCCTCCCCCTGTGGGACTCCCTCCTGCTCTGCTCTAGAGAGAAAGTAGCTGCAGCCCATGGAGGAAGTGACCCCCTGGGAGACAGAGGGGCTGCCAGGCTGGAGCTCCCTGACTCCAAAGGAGATGAGCCAGGAGTGAGCATTAAAGGAGAGAGAGAGCTGGGGGGGGAGAGGGGGTTGCCCCCACAGCCCAGCAGGGCCCCACCCAGGCTCCCTACAGCAGACAGCGGCTGAGCACCCAGGATGTCCCAACTCCAGATCCTCTGCTGCCTCAAGTCCTGCTTTAAACCTGCTTCTCCACAGAACTGTGCTTATAGGTGTGTTGCCTGACACTCTTCACTCTGTGGGACTGGAATCAATTTATGCTGGAGCTTGATGTGCAATTATCCTCCCAAAATAGTTTCTTGATAGAACTTTTGCCATTGAGGTGTTGTCCTGACATTCTTTGCTCTTTGTGGGATTTGAATTCATTTATGCTGGGCTTGATGTGTAATTGTCCTCCCACTGTCTATGTTGTGTGCCCTGTCTCTCCTGACACACACACACACATACCTCTCCTTGGGAACCAGATCCTCACTCAGCACTGGGGTTACCCTGACCCTCTGTCTCTGGTCCCCTCAGAGCCGCCCTCTCTGCAGTGTCTCTACTCAGCCGGGTCTGAGCAGCCCCAGGAGTCCCTGCACCTCCTGCCTCTGCCCTTGTGGGAAACCAGCCCCTCAGCCTGCATGACAGTGAGGAGGCGAAGCAAAGTCCTGAGGTCAGTGATTGATGGAGAAAACAAGTTAATTTTTTTCTTCGTTTAAAAGTTTTTTTATTACTGTATTTTTAAAAGTAACACTCGTTTACACATTGCACATGACTCAAAGTCGGAGACTCACCTCCTCAGATACAGGTTCCCTCACCCCCCACCTCCAATGCACCCAGAGTCCTCCCCTGTGTTCCTGTGGGCCTTCTTACTCCTTTTGCTCCCCACCCCCAACTCCCTCTGGGAGCCTCAGTTCTGCAGCCAGACTCCAAGGGCAGGTTAGGTTTTATCTGTTCCTTTGCTTGGTTTCTATATATTACATATAGGAATCATATCATTTGGTATTTGTAGTTCTCCTGATTTATTTCACTTAGCATACTTTAACCCATTTCCATCCATGTTGTTGTAAATTCAAGATTTCATGTACCTGCCACTAGAGTTCCAGTCATCTATTTTTATGCACATAGATTGTTTCCATAATTTGGTTATTGTAAATACTGTTGCAATGAACACAAGAGTGCACATATCGGGCCTCCGCAGTGGCACAGCGGTTGAGCACTGGGCTGCGAAGCTGCCCGCAGCCTCTGTAGCGCCGGTTCAATCCCTGGCCGCCTGTGAGGGTCCCACATGGCGCACAGACCTCTCCTGCCGCGCCCCCTGCTCCCCTCAGCAGTATACTTTGGTCCTTCTGCCTGTTTTGCTCCCCGCTCTGGCTCTGGTGAATTCTCCCACCCTCCCGCGCTTCTGACTATACCCAGTGCTTGTATAAATAAATAAATTAAAAAAAAAAAAAGAGTGCACATATCATTTGAAATGAGCTTTTGCATTCTTTGGATAAACCCCAAGGAGTGGATGCTGGGGCCTCTGGCAGATCTATGTTTAATATTTTGAGGAAACTCCATACTGTTTTTCATAGAGGCTGGACCAATTCCCACAACAGTGTATGAAGGTTCCTTTTCCCCCACACCTTGCCAACACTTGCTGTCTCTGGTCTTGTTAATATGAGCCCCTCACAGGTGCGAGGTGGTGTCTCATTGTGGTCCTGATCTGCATCTCCTGATGATGTGTGATAGGAGTATTTTCCATGTGCCTGTGGCCATCTGTATCTTCTTTGGAGAAGTGTCCACTTAGTTCCTCTCCGCGTTTTTGATTGGGTTGTTTTCTGGTTGTTGACTTATATGTATTATTCATACATCTTGGATGTATGATATGCAAATTATTTCTCTCACTCCATAGGGTGTCTTTACATTTAATGACAGTTTCCTTCGTTGGGCAGGAGCTTGCAGTTTGATGTGTCTCCACTGGTCTCTCTTTGCTTCTGTTTCCTTGAAGCACAGAAGATTTTCAGGGCAGTGAGTCTACTGTGTAGGACACACTATGGTGTCCACGTCATTGTACATTTGTCTAAAACACAGCAGGATAGGATGAACTAGGGAGAATCTGACATTTCTTTTAAAGTCAAACACAGACCAACCATACAGTCCAGCAATCACTGTCCCTACTATTTACCCAGCTAACATGAAAACTTGCATTTGCAAAACAACAAAGAAACCAAATCAAAATACCCTGCATGGAAGTAAATGTTTATAGTAGAACCCCCACTAAGTGTGAGCTAACCATAGTGACTTCCTTCCAAAGACAACAATAACTAAATAAAGGAAAAATAAAAGTGGATATTTGTACACTTGATGTGCTGATGGAGAATGGCCTCAAATTGAAGCCATTGTGCCTGAGTAGCTCTGCTCACAGATGTCATCAGAAGAGGAAAGTTTGAGAAATTGTCAGCCAGAGAAACTAAGGACACGTGGTTGGAACTTCACTTGGTGTCCTGGGTGAGATGTTGGAGCATGAGAAAAGCATTAGGAAAATTAATGAAATCCAAATACAGTGCAGACTTCAGTGAAAGTGCATCAATATTGCTTCCTTAGTGGCTCAAATGCACTGTGGTCACATGAGATGTTAATATGGATACGATGTGGGTTATATGGGAGCTCTACTACCTTTGCCATGTTTCTGTCAATCCAACAGTATTTTTTTTAAAATGTCATTTGAAATTAAATTTTAAATCCAAACAACATTTTAGGGCCTCCCCTGGTGGTACAGGCGGTTGAGCGACGCACTGTGAAGGTGTCCACAGCCTCTGCAGCGCTGGTTCGATCCCGGCCAGCCCGCAATGGTCCCACATGGTGCAGCACACCTCTCCTGTCTCGCCCGCTGCTCCCCTCAGTGGTGTATTTTGACAGTCAGCCTGCTCTGTTCCCCGCTCTGTCTCTGGTGAATCCTCTCACACTCCCACGCAGCTGTCCTGTACCCCAGTACTTGTATGCATAAATAAATAAATCTTAAAAAAAAAATTTTAAAAAATAGCTCTCAACAAAGTTATAGGCTGGAGTAGGAAAAATGATGAATTTCCCAGTTTTCCCAGGTATTGCTTTCAAGAGACTAGAGAGAAGAGTTTTGGGGAGGAAACCTGGAAACCTCACACACAGGACAGGCTCCGGAGTCTCCTCTCCTCTGAGCCCTGCTTCTCTGACTCCTCACAGAGCATCTCTGCCCCAGGACACCGCCCTGCAGGACCCCCAACTCTGCTCAACTCAGACCCCACACCATCTGGCAGCTCCACCAGAATCCGGAACAGCGCGGCAGCGCCCCCGTGTGGCCACAGGTGAGCACAGGAGACCAGAGCTGCCCTTTCTCCTGCTCAGCCAAGCCCTCCCCAGGGTTCCCTGTGCTCCCAGCATCAGGACAGGTCCACTGTCAGGTTAGGAGTTCTCAAACTGACCACCTGGTGGGTAACTATGGGTACAGGCCTCAGGGAAGAGCCAGGTGTCTAGGTCATAACAGTTGCTCCCCTAGTTCTGGGAAGGCAAATTATACAGTTTCCCTCAATCTTTTTGGATGGGAACTTGGACTCCAGAGTACCTGTTATCTGTTCCTGCTTCCAGGGATGAAAGTGCCTCATCCTGAGCATCAGCCCTAAATTCTCCATCCCTAGGGTGAAGGAAGGAGCCAAATAACAGACTCTTAGGCTCTGTTCTAGACCTTCTGAGTCTTCATGAGCATCCAGGTGATCCTGTGCTCATTGAAGTGGGGGCTCCCTGGTCTCCGGGTCTTCTCCATGTGGGGTCAGACTGTATAGTCGGCTCTGGGGGGTGTCTGCTCCAACTGCTCATCACTGTGGATTCTGGGGTTCAATTCTGCTCCTTACTCTTGCTTAGTCATCACTTTCTGGGTGACCCTTACATGCTCAAGACTTTAAATATCATTTACATCACATCACCTCCCAGATCTCTTTCTTACCTCAGACATTTCACCTGTGCCCCAGACTTGTCTGTCCAATTGCCGACATCACTTTCAACTTTAATAGATCTGACTCAACTTTCCTAAATTGAGTGCCTAGGATGCCCACATATAGTTCTTCTGGGTCTTCCCCATGTCACTGAGGCTCCGCCTCTCTGCCTGCACAGTCTGAGACACTGAGTGTCATCCTTGACCCCTTTCTCACAGCCCAGTAGTAGGAAACTCTGTAAAGTCCATGTCTATATATGCACAGTCCTGTCACTTCATATTATTTTCCTGCTCACCCCCCAACGAAGCCACCAACCTCTCTGTCCTGGGACCTGCACTGGTTTCCTCCATTTTTCTTTATACCTCTCACCCTTCCATGCTGCACAACAGCCAGACTGAGGCTACCAGAGAGAGGTCCCACAGATGTATCTGTTCAGAAGGTATTGCACCCCCACATCTTACTAAGAGAGTCAAATGCTCCCAACATCCTCGAGGCCTGAATGACCTGGGTGCACACAGGTCCCATCTCATTGGCCTCTGCTCAGCCTTTGGCCTCCTTGCTCATGTCAGTCACACAGACACATTCCTGCTCAGGCATCTGCACTGGAGGTTGCCCTGTCTGGACTGAAGTTCCCTGCACATCACATCCTTGTGGCACATCACGTGCCCATTAAACTTTTTCTCAAAGGTCACTTCAGTGAGACCCACACTGACCACGCTGGGAAGAAAACCATCCTGTCACCTTCCCACATCCCTTACCCACTTCTATCCAGACACGCGTGGTTTACTGTCTGATCTACTGTCACACAGTCCCCAGTCTCCCCTCCCCACTAGGACACACTCTCCACAGGCCGCAAGTTGTGCATTTTTTAGTTCAGTTTTCCTAGATGCAAAAACAGTCAGTCACACGTCTGGTGCAACAGTCGTTGGTTGTGTCATCAGTGTAGAGCACCTCCCCATTCTAGAGACAGTGTCTCTACTAATGTGGCACGTTACACTGGTATATTTCTTTTGAAAAGGGGTTCCTAGGTTTTTTTTAAGATTTATTTTTAATTATTTATACATACAAAACTGGGGTGTAGGCCAGTGGTGTGGAGGGTGAGAGGATTCACCAGACAAAGTAGGGAGCAGAACAGGCAGATTTACTGAAATACACTGCCACGGGGAGCAGAGGGCGAAACAGGAGAGGTCTGCTGCGCCATATGTGGGTTAGCTCCCTGGCTGGGTATTGAACTTGGGGTGCAGAGGTGAATGCTGAGACTTAACCCCTGGGCTAGCAGGGAGGACCAGTTTCCCAGATTTATGGGTCCTATTTTCCAGCCAATTATGAGGGTAACTGACTCCATCAACCACAGGTCTCAACTGGCACGGCCACTGGGGTTACTACATTTAAGGGAAGGGTTACAGGGAGAAGCTGTAGAGAAAAATATAAATCTATCAGGAACTTATCTAAATCCATAAGGAAAATATCAAATCCTCCTCTCTAGTAATACCAGAATTTGTTGGAAAAGATGGACAGAATAATCCAGAAAAAAGTCCTAAATGAGGCTGAAAATCAGATGAGTCTGGAAATGATCTCACCAGACTCCTGTGTGCAGGGGACACCATGGGCCTTGTAGGTGCAATGACAGGTGCCTTCTGTTGCTACATATACACTGTCCAGGGGGCTCAGGGACCAAACACCTGATCCACACTTACCTGCAGCCTGAGTGTAGGTTCCTTCTTTTCCTCCAGTGGGAAGAAGCATCATGTGAGACCAGGGAGGAGTAGGCTATGAAGCCCTACAGCAATCCCCAGTGCGAACCACAGGCATGTTTCCGGAACTCTGACTGGACACTTAGGTCAAGACCAGGAAATACGCAGCCTTCCTGGTGGCTCAGGGGTTAAAGACAGAGCTAGCTATCAAGCTACTGCCAGCCACTACAACAGGAGTTCGATCCCCAGCCAGCCAAGAAGCAACCCACATGGCGCAGCATACCTCTCCTGTTGCCCACTGCTCCCCTCAGCAAGGGATTTCAGTCATCTCCCTGTTCTGCTTCCCACTCTCTCTGGTTAATCCTCTCGCCTCCCGCATCAGAAAGGAGATAAGAAGGGAGTGACCAACTGCCTTCTGGGTCTGCCCTCAGCAGGGAACTTCCCCTCTACCATTTGCTGGAATCAGGGCCCCAGCACCAGATTTATCAAAGTGAACAATGTGATTCATTTTCAAAAATGCTTTACAAAAGAGGGCTAGCAATCAGCTCCAGACTGGGCAACACAAATACATGTAGTGTACTTCCAATTACCAGTTAGGGCAAGTTCTACTTGTGGCCTGAAAGCTCCCAGTGGACATGATCCCTCCCCACTCCCTTCCCTACCTGAGCGCGTCTTCTACCTCACAGCTGCAGCCACCACAGCTACACTGAGCACAGCTCCAAGGAGAAACAGGCCAGCAACGATGCTCACAGTGGGGAGGATGGAGTCAGTAGGGACAGTGGGCTGAGGAGGTGGCACTGGAAAGGAAGGGAAGGTGAGATCCTGAGCCCCAGAACCCCTTCTGATGCTCTGAAGGTCTCCAGAAGGGCTCCTGATGCCCCTGAGAAGCAACGTGCCCACGTTCCCTCCTTACCCCATCTCAGGATTTGGGGCTCCAGCAGCCCCTCATGCTGCACATGGCACGTGTATCTCTGCTCCTCTCCAGAAGGTACCTCCACAGCTGCCCACTTCTGGAAGGTTCCGTCCCCCCCAGGCCTGGTCTCCACCAGCTCCGTGTCCTGGGTCAGGTCCTCCCCATTTTGCTGCCAAGTCAGGGTGATGTCCGCAGGGTAGAAGCCCAGGGCCCAGCACCTCAGAGTGACCTTCTGGTTAGAGGTGGGGTGGTGGGTCACGTGTGTCTTTGGGGCCTCTGAGGAGAAGGGTGAGAACTTTCACACTTTGGGTTTTTTTCTCATGGACCCTGAAAAACCCTCCTGTGACCATCCTCAGAATGGACAGGGCAGTGTGTTTAGAAGAGGAAGCACAAAATCTAGAAACCAGCCTGGTCTGGGGAGTCTGGGATAATCTCTTATTCCTTAGAAAGTTCTAGAATTAGGGTGACAACTCTGGATAGGAGGACACAGTTCTCTAAGGAGGAGAGCACAGGCTTTTGCTGCTGACCTGGGGACTCAGAAAAGCAGGAGTCAGACCAGAAAAATATCCTCTGACCAATCACAAGACCCTGAGGGAAAAGCTGATGGTTCCCAGGAGGGCTGCCTTGTCACAAGGATCCCATGAAGGGTGATTCCAGGGCTGGTCTCCCCTCAGGCTAGGAGAGACTGGATTCCTTAACTGTTCTGAGGAAAAGTGGGGTCCTCTGGGGAGTCAGGAAACCCAGGGGGGCTCCTCCTCCCCTGACCAGAGAGGGGGCGCTGCTGTGACCCTGACTCCACCCTCCCCGCGGTGCCGGCCTGAGGGAGTGGGGAGACCTCGCGGCCCCTCTTACCTGAGCGCTGCAGCGTCTCCTTCCCGTGCTCCAGGTACCTGCGCTGCCACTCCACGCACGTGTCCTCCAGGTAGATCCTCCAGCGCTTAGTGGCTCCGGCCTCCCACTGGTGCCGGGTGATCTGAGCGGCCGTGTCCGCCGCGGTCCAGGAGCGCAGGTCCCCGTTCAGGGCCAGGTAATCGGCGCCGTCGTAGGCGAACTGACTGTACGCGCGGAGGAGGCGCCCGTCGGGCCCCACGTCGCAGCCAGACATCCTCTGGAGGGTGTGAGAGCCTGTCCCCGCCCGTCACCCCGCGTCACCCCGCCCGCCCCCCGGGAATAAACCGAAACTGACGCGGGAACCCCGCGGGGAACGTCCCGGGGCTCGTCCCGGGTCGAGGGTCCGGCGGGTCCCCCCGCCTCAGGGGACGCTCGGGCCGGGGTCTGGGGTCCCCGCCCGCCCGCGGGGGTGGGGTCGTGAGCGCCCCGGGCCCGCCCCGCTCACCGGCCGCGCTCTGGTTGTAGTAGCCGCGCAGGTTGTTCAGGCTGACTCGGAACATCTGCGCGTTGGCCTTCATGATCCGCGTCTCCTCCTCCCAGTACTCCGGCCCCTCCCGCCCCGCCCAGGGCGCCCGCGGCTCCATCCTCGGCCCCGCCGCGGCGCTGTCGAACCGCACGAACTGCGTGTCGTCCACGGAGCCCACCTCCATGTAGCGGGGCTGCCCGGGGCCGGGCCGGGACATCGCGGTGTAGAAATACCTCAGGGAGTGGGGGCCTGGGGGCGGGAGGGAGACCCGGGCTGAGCCTCCTCCCCGCGCGGGTCCAAGGGAGTTGGGGCTGGAGGGGAGGAGGGGCAAGAGGAGGGAGGTGGGGAGGTATAGAAGTGGGCAGGGCGGGGTCAAGGGGGATAACAGGGTCAGCAGTGGCAGAGACTTGCCATTCCAGAGGTCCTGCCCCCCCTGCCGGGGTTCCTCTAGTTCCCACCTTGTCAGTGGCATTTTTGCTCCAGAGCCCGCACTCACCTGCCCAGGTGTCTGTTGGAGCCAGGGTCCCTGAGAGCAGCAGCAGGAGGGTTGGGGGCCTCATGACTGGTGCTCTTGCGGTCTGGGGAGACTCAGCCCAGACTGGTGCAGCTGTGATGCTGATTGGACTTCCTGGAGACCTCCAGGCAATGAGGAGAGAGAACTGGGGTGAGTCACCAGTATCCAGGAAGGAGGACCCACGCAGGTTGTGAGAGAAGTGAAAACTGTGGGGGATGGGGAATCCCCAACAGTGACCTTCCCAGCCCCAGACAAAGCCCAGAGAGCAGAGACCCTGAGAACCACACCTGGCACCTGGGACTTTGCTGCCCCCTCCTCTTCTGCTCCAAGGCCTTTGTCACACCGGGTCCCTGAGTCCAGGCCAGGAACTGGGTCAGCAATTTTTAGGCTTTTTCGTTTCAGGATCTCTGCAGTTTTACAAGTTAGCGAGGACCCAATGTAATTTTAGGAAGTTAATAGCTCTCAGTATTTACTACATGAGGAATAAAAACAATTTAAAGATATTTTTATTTAATTGAGAATATTAATACCCCAATGTGTGTTCAAAGTATCTTAAAGAAATATAGATATTTAATGAAAATAGTCAGGGTAATGAGTGGATCTTTTTCAGCTTACATTTTTGCAGTTATTTTTCCTTTCTGTCTCACTAGAAGAATGTTGGATTGTCATATTTTCTCCTGCATTTACTCTTTGTTTTTTGTTGGCCAATGAAAAATTATACAGCCTTGAAATATGTGAAAATAAATTTTTAAGTACTTTGCAGAAAATTGTTAATATTCAACTTTGTTCCACTTCTACAATAAATTGAAACTATACAGGTGGTGGTTTTTCAAATGTTATTTGCAAAGTGAGTGGTAGAACAGTATCATTGAATGTTTTCTATCCTGTTACGTTAACTCCATAGGCCTCCATTGATTATTAATCTTGAACTAATATATGATTTTAAAAAGTGATGCATTGTTTTACCAGGTTATATCATCTTATGTTAATTATTCTAGAATCAAATTTTGAAAATCATACATGTTTTAAGTTCCAAAGATCCCCAAAGAAAATTAAAAGGCTACTGAAAGTTGTCGAGTTTATAGTGATGGGACACAATTTTTCACTAACTGGTTTTCACTTGGAGCTTGTACTTTATCAAGGCAGTTAACTACTATCATTTATCAACTGTCAGTTGATTTTCTTAAAGGGACAGCTCACATTCATCTTCTAGAAAGTGTGCACAGGTTAACCAAATCTAAATAATGATAGCTTTTGTCATTCATTTCTTCAAGAAAAGATGGTAGTACCCTTCCTACCTCACAAAAAAGAAAAGGTCTAATTCACCTCATACAAATTAGTTTCCTTGGCACATAGTACTTTGGATTGTGGCAGAAGTGACTTACATATGCTCTATGTCATCAGAAACTTGGTTTACTTTGTCTCCAGATTCTTTCTCTCGGGCTTGAGGAGATGCTCCCTGCTTTCCTGAGCCTCCCTGACCAGGACCCCACAGCTCTTTACACTGGACAGGGTGGTCTCTATCCATATCCCTGCTTTCTCCCTCCTGCTCCCTTCCTGTGCAGCCCTTCTCCTCTGGGCTCAGGTGCTGGACCTGCCTGGGGAAGGTTGACAATGAGGGGTCATCTCCAAACTTGAGGCCTCATTTCAATGCTTTTCTGTTTCTCATTGTTACAAACAGCTGACAATGTTTTTACTCCCTGCTGGTCTAAAAATGTAACATTTTGTATTTTTATTGTGAACACAGATTATATCCTAAGAACTGTACTATATATGTGTGTATATATAGTATGTATACATACACACACATTATATATACATACACACACATACACACATTATAGGCAGAATAAAGCAGGTCTTCCTAAATTTTGAAAGGGACACGGATGTTGGTCTTCAGACTCGGCACAGAGCTGAAGGGCTGGGCTCCATGTCGGCTATGGGCAGGGCCCTCACAGCCATTCCTCCCTCCTCAGGAAGCTGTTCTCTGTGGGGCCCAGGCAGGGTCTCTCCCTTCTCTTCTGGGTGTGGCCATTTATTACTAAGAGACTCACTGGCCTTCTTTGCGGCAGGCTGCGCCTCCCATACTGTCTCTGGACAAGGTCCGGGCATTGGGGGAGACTCCGGAGAAGTGGGGAGTTCCTGTGCTCTCCTGAAGAGGGAAAGTTGTACTTCCCAGAAGAGGGGAGTTCTTGCACTTCCCAAAGAAGATCTGAACTAGGGAGTCTCCATGGCAACGCCTGCTAAAGCTCTCCTCTTTGTTCTTGATTAATGCTGAAGTAAATTAGTTATTAATTGGCCTGTGAAAACCTAATTGGGACCCAGGTGACAATTGGCTTATTGTTCTTACTGCATGAACTATCACAAAAGAAGTAAAAATTGTTAAAAGTATAGTTAGGAAAGAAATGTTTTGGTCCTGAGAACTATGGAGAACAAGCTGCCCTGAACCAGTTGTGCTTGGAAACCATAGCCTAACCTGGGGGGTGCGTGTTTGCAGCAACAGTACATCTCCTGGTGTATGTGAAAGACCAACAGTTCGCAGGTTGTGTGGAGGTTAGGAATTTCTAGTTAAGAGTTAGACTTCAGTAGAACTTACATAGATTTGATGAGTTGTTTTAGATCACTTTGAAGTAATTAATAATAGGCTAGATGAATTGAGTACTAGAGAATCGGTTGATTTTGGTAATATAGCATAACAATGGACTTTCATGTCTACTCCAAAATCAGGAAGGCTTGACAGGATGATTGATTGTTACTGAACATTGTACTGTCTTAGACAATTGATTATGTTAGAAAAAGAGTTGTACCTAGGAGAGTAATTGTCCCTGTTGTTTTTCTTAATCATATTAAAGAAGTGTCCTTTTGTAGTATGAGATCAAGAGGGTCTTTGTATATTCATGAGAAAGTATGTAATGATTGTCTCTGTTCTGCTTTGATGCTTATGCTGATGTAATCTAAGGTATAAATAAAGACCTGCTGAGACCCTCAGTAGGAGATACTTGCACGAACTAAGGTGTCTGTGTCTACCTCACTTCTACCTCGCTCCACTTCCCCTCAGTCCTCCGAGAGAAAACTTGGCCGAAACCGTCCCCTCTCCTCTCTGAGACCCCTGACACAACTTCTAGCTGGAGCTGGTCTCCAGCACTTCTTGAACATACTTAGGCTGCTTCTTTAACATACTCAAGCTGCTCAGGGCTTCCAATCTTAGCACCAGCTTTTGCCTTACCTAAGTTGGCTTTATGATACATCTCCTCTGCCTGGCTGCAGAGAACTTGGCGAGGGCTCTCCCCTCAGCCAAACATGGGCTCATCTCATGCCTGCCCCATCCCCTAATCTACCATTGCCTCCCTGGGCTGTGGCTCTAGGGTTGCTGGGCAGTGCACAGGCTGCTTTTGGCCACGGAAGCCCACCGGCCGTGCATTGGTTTTCATCTCCTGGGGTTGACCAAGAAAAAAAAAAAACAAAGGGATGTTTAATCTTCAGCCCCACAAGGAATCTTCAGCCCCTCTGTGTGAGGCCCTTTTCTTTTCTTTTTTAAAAAAGATTTATTTATTTATTTATACAAGCACTGGGTACAGTCAGAAGCTCGGGAGGGTGAGAAAACATACCAGAGCCAGAGCAGGGAGCAGAACAGACTCACGAAATACACTACTGAGGGGAGCAGCCCCTCAGCTGGCAGCAGGAGAGGTCTGCGCGCCATGTGGGACCCTCACTCGGTGGTCGAGAATCAAACCGGTGCTGCAGAGGCTGCGGGCAGCTTCGCAACCCAGTGCTCAACCGCAAGAGGAGGCAGGAGGCAGGGAGGGACAGAAAGGGGTCAGGACAGGGGGCGGTCAAGGGGGACAACAGGGTCAGCAGAGGCTGAGACTCGCCATTCCTGGGATCCTGCGCCCCCATGCCAGGTTTCCTCTAATTCCCCCCTCTCAGTGGCCTTTTCCCTCCAAGCCAGCAATTACCTGTCCAGGTCTCTGCCAGGGCCAGGGTCAATGAAAGCAGCAGCAGGAGAGTTGGGGGCATCACTGTGCCCTAGAGGTAGCTGGGCTTTTGAATCTTGGCGGCTCAGAGGAGACTTTCTTAACCTGGCGCTGCGGGGCTGCTGATTGGCTGCTCTGGAGACCTCCAGGCAATGGGGAGAGAGAACTGGGGTGAGTCACCAGTATCCCAGGAAGGAGGACCCGACACAGGCTGTGAGAGAAATAAGTGAAGCTGTGGGGAGACGGGGAATCCCCAACAGCCACCTTCCCTGCTCCAGACACAGCCCTGGGTGCTGAGACCCTGAGAACCACACCTGACACCTGGGACTTTGCCGCCCCCTCCTCTCCTGCTCCAAGGCCTTTGTCACACTTGCCTCCTGGAGTCCAGGCCAGGGACTGGGGCAGCGATTTTTGAGCATTTTCCTTTCGGGATCTCTGCACAGCTTTCAAATTAGCAAGGACCCCAGTATAATTTTAGGAGGTTATAGCTCTCAGTATTTACTACATGAGGACTAAAACCAATTTAAAGATATTTTTATTTAATTTAGAATAATATTAATAACCCAATGTGTGTTCAAAGTGTCTTAAAGAAATATAGATATTTAATGAAAATAATCAGAGTAATGTGTGGATCTTCTACAGCTTACATTTTTGCAATTATTTTTCTTCTCTGTCTCACTAGAAGAATGTTGGATTGTCATATTTTCTCCTGCATTTACTCTTTGTTTTGGTTGGCCAATGAAAAGCTTTAAGCTTCTCTGAAATATGTGAAAATAGCATTTTAAGTACTTTTCAGATAATTGTGAATATGCAACTTTGTTCCACTTCTACAATAAACTGAAACTATACAAGTGGTGGTTTCTCAAATGTTATTTGCAAAGTAAGCGGTAGAACGATATCATTGAATGTTTTCTATTCTGTTACATTAATTCCATAGGCCTCTGTTGATTATTAATCTTGAACTAATACATGATTTTAAAAAAGTGATGCATTGTTTTATCAGATTATAGGATATTTATGTTCAGTATTCTAGAATCAAATTTTGAAAATCATACATGTTTTACATTCCGAAGATCGCCAAAGAAAAGTAAATGGCTACTGAAAGTTGTCAAGTTTATAACGAT